ATCAATTAGAAACTATGATCATACAATTTCTGCCTAAAACAATCATAAAATTATTCCTCTCAAAGAAAGAACTTTTCTAACTCTATACTACTTTTGCTTATTGAAAACAAGTTTGAAAACCTTGAAGAAAAAGTTCAGCTAAAATGCCCAAGTGGTCTAGAAGTTATAGCCGTTCCAAGATGACTTTCTTACATGGTAAGCTACGAGGACATCTCCCACTCTTTCATTTTTCACGGACACAAAAAGTGAATATACTCTCACTCTTTTATAACAAAATTTTTAGAATACCTTCAAGGTTATCCATAGCAAAAATCCCAAGATCTAATTGTCATTCTAGCTCAAAAGTAGACAAGTATTTTTCAATCTAACACTTGAGGTTCTACAAAATCTCTCGAAAAAACAGTAATTTTTCAACTCGCACAAGTCTTGAACCGTTTAGTCAAATGTTGCAATATTAGAATGTATCTTAGTGAGCTCAAAATATATTTTTTGAATATAAACTAAGAACGATGTGCCTAATAGTTGTGAATCTCCTCCTATATGAGGTTAACCCGGCCAACTCCACAACTCAAAATTTCAGCCCATAGGCTTTGGAATAATCTACTTTTGTCCAACCAACCTATACATATATTTATATAAAAAGTTCATCAAAGAACTTTCTTATGGTGACTTTTTTTTTGTCATGTAGTTTAGTTTAACTTCTTTAGCTTCAAAAAATCCTTGTATATTTTGTAGAAACCAAATCTTCTAACTTTAGCTAAATACTTAATCTATTTATCTACGTTACTTTATCTAGATTAAGAATAAGATAAACTATACATTTACAAGTACATAGTCAAACGTGACCCAACTAAATACACTTGTTACTATAATTATATACTTGTTAGTATATATTAATTACTATTAGTTAGCTTAAACATATAAGGTAAGAAGTAGTAGATTTGCTCACAACAAAGTTCTAGTGCTTCATTGTTTGAGTACTTTCTTGAATTTGTTGTATGAATCTTCTACTTTGATATTCTTCTTCACTCTATCACATTTCCGTTGATCAAAATTGCAACATATAAAGTTTACAATAGCTCTTATTTAGTTTATCAAATCTTAATTGATTTTGATTCAAATGTTATTAGCTTTTCCTCACATAATCTCAAAATTTACTTCTTGTACAACAAAATTGTAAGTAGTTTTGACTGATGACTTAAAGCAAAAAATTATGAAACCATTTTTTTCATACTTTTTATTTAAAACAACACTAAATGCAAAAAAGTATTAACTCTGTTTAATTGGGTATATTAAATTTATTAGGATTGAAATTTTTTAAAAATTAAACTTACATTGACTCAAGTTAAATTTATACTTGATATGAGAAAAAAATTGATCTCTCTTGGAATATAAGATTCAAAAAGTTTTGAATGTAACTCTAAGAAATGAATGCTTGAGGTAAAAGTATGTGATAAGATTAAGTTAGGATGTCAGGCGTACAATAATATATATACATGCTAGAGTATATTACTATTTGTATTAAAGTCAATTTTACTAGATGTTGAGTTAAAGTGTATCATGTATGGCACTCTAGCCTAAGACACATGAGTCATATGTATTGAACAGGTTTAGGCGATAAAAAATTGTTACAAGATATGGGTAAATTGACTAAGAGTTTTCTGAACATTGTGTTGTGTACATCATAGTCAAGTCTTGTATGTTGAAACTCATAATTTCAAAAAATTATTTGATTATGTACATAATGAGATGTAGAGATTTTATGAAAAAGATTCACTCTTTGGAGAATTGTACTATGCATATTTTATTGATGATTGCTCAAGATTATATTTTCTTTCACAAAAATATTAGTTCTTCATGAATTTATAATCCAAATTGAGATTGAGATATGTACATATTCATAATGGCAGAAAATATGTTGAAAAAGATGCACAGTTGCTTGAGCCAATCTGATTTGTCATATGAAATTTGAACTTAAATGATCAATTTCGTAGTATGTTTGATAAATCTTTCTACTTCTAGTGCATTCAATTTTTTGACACCGTTTGATATAAGATCAAAATAGTTGATAATTTATAATTTTTTAAAAATATTTGGTCGTATGGCTTAAAATTTCATATCTAAGGAGATTAGTTACAAGTTGGATATTATATTCAAATAATGTTGTTTCATTGGATATGTTAGTGATATAAATGGCTATAGACTAGAGTAGTATGGTAAATACTTGTAATTTGTGATGTTTTCAACCTCCCTAACTTACAAATCTTCACTCATATATATTTTTTGAGAAAAATATAAAACATTTTGTGATTACTAATGTTATATCATTAATTACATAATGATGATGGTTTAGATGAATCTAATTCTTGAAGAGCAAAAATCAAAAAAGTAGATTATTGTTGATGAGATTTGAATTTCTAGACCAGAAGATAGCAATCTACTATAATCATCTACTATGAGATCATCAAATTGAATCAGTATGACTTTTGTAAAATATGAATTATGGGCTGATTCATACATTCTTGAAAATTGTAATATTGAAATTAAAGATGTCAATTGCATTGCATTTATCTTGGAAGAAGAAGAAACTTCTTTTTGTAAAGAAGCTCAAAACTTTGTCAATAAACTTAAATGCAATATTCTTATGAAACGTGAGATGTAGTTGATGATGAAAAACAAGATCTAGTAGTTAATGTAGCTTCAAAGAAATCAAAATTTTACTGATTGCAAGTTGATATACAAGCTTAAGTACAATCTAGTACATGACAAGAGAAAACTCTTCAAAGTAAGGTTTTTTTTTCACACAACAGAATTGAAAGAACCCATCATCCAGATTAACCAGCACGCACGACAGTCACAACATCGAGATAACATGGTTCAGCTTCTAGAGGCTACGTCCACGGGCAAGAGCAGAATTTCACTAAAGCACAGATGATTACACGGCCTTCATAGCCAAGCGCTACTCCAACCTGTTCACTTTCTTGATGTTATCCTAAACTGTACGCAAAGAGAGTCAACTTCTCTCTTCTATACGAGAAGAGATAAGGTGCACATAATAACTAATCTAACCTAACCTAATCACAGTTAACTTCTTAATCATGGTTATCACTAACAGGAGTTAATCCAAGATAGAGTTAAACTAACAAGAATAATGGGGACTAAAATGAAATTCTCTAATCCATGACAAAATATGATACAATTTGATTGATATGAACATTTGCTTCAATAGTTAGTTTTGCTATGCATCAAATAGATGTAATTATAATATTTACAATAATGAATTTACATGAAACAACCAACTTACTTGATTAAAAAATTTAAGAAAATTTAATTTGTAAATTTTTGAAACCTTCTAATAATTGAAACAAGTTGTTATTCAATTGAATGAGATTTTGATAAGTTTATTTAAAAAAAATTAGAAAATATGTATGATGTGTGTATTAATAAAAACATGGGATCTTTAATTTCATTATTCTATTCTTTACATAAATGATGTAATCATTTTGATGAATAATCAATCTTATATTGACATGCAAGAATCATCTGAACTATGTATCAAAGATGAATAATTTAAAGAAATCCAAGATGATATCATTCAATAAATGATTTACAAATTATAAAAAATTGATTTTACAAATAAATAATAATTTTTGATTATCTCCAATGTGTCTCACTCATGTGAGTTTCACTCATGTTTCATATGTGGGTCAATGGAATAATCAACCAATGGAACCTCAAGCCACATGAAGTGATTGTCCAATTTCATCACATTGGAGATGTAGGAAGAGAGTATTAAGGTTCTCTTAAGTCACTCTTGGTATATATTTGGAATACAGTGAGCACAATTCAATAACGGTTTGCTTCATAAGACACCACATGAAAATCCGTGGTCAATGCCCGTTCTATTAGAACTGCCAGCACTCCGAACGCGACCAAAACCAACAGTGGAATGCTTCTGCCCTGCCCATAAATGCTTCGTCTCGTACCTTACAGACAAATGTGAGCTCAAAGTATGCACCATACAGTCTACAACCTAGCTCACTCTCCAGATTCCTGCCAACCCTCAGAGTTTCAGAAGTTTCAGAGCTAGAATTTGTTCGCAGACCGCAACAGAACGAATCATTCAGCACTAATCATGAACATTGTAAATCATTTTTAAATAGAAAACATTAAAAGTGTTGAGATAATTTATCTATCCTTGATAGCAAGCTTCTCTTGGATCCATGCAAGCCAACATGAGAAAATTGTATGATAACACTTGCTAGATCGTGTGCAATACAATTTGGTTCTTTTGTTCTCATAACATTAATTAAACTTACTCAAATTCATCAAGATTAGTTAAAGACGTATGTTTTTTCATGAGCAATTGAGAAGATGATTGTAATGAAGTCAATAATTTTCACGAATATGTTATCAGTATGGAATGCGTATGTGCAAGCCAAGTTGTAAATCCATTGCAAAATCGTATCTTTATTGAAATCATGCATCTGAATGTGACGTTCATTAAATAATCATGGAATCATGTGAACACTTGATGCATCTAAACAAACATCGCAATCTCAATTCTGCATTGAATCTGTAAATAGTTCTAGTAAAACAAAGCCCAACTTTGGCCAGCCAGAATTTGATTCAGAGCGCACCATTTTGTATAAAGGTGGAAACAGACTGATTATTGAATTAGATCATTGATACTTGTGTGAGTTTTCAGCAGTACTGAGCCTTGAGTTAGTCAATAATATTGACACATGTCTCACTTCTTTAACTGATTTGAGAATTCAATCACTCCGGAAAGAGATGCAAGAACTTCTTCTCCTCTACTATAGTCTAGATTGCAAATCGGTTTGAGAAATAACATATAATCAGTTATCCAACAATAAACTAGTTTCATTTTATTTTTTGATATTTATCTTCTACTAATTTCTGCTCCTATTTGATTTACATCTTTCACAATATTATGAGCTTGAGCATGCAAGGAGCCTTCCGAAGCTTTTGATAGAGCAGATTCTTCGTACGTGCTTGTTTGGCTTTCATATGAGCCACAAAAGAGTACATTCAAGCTGTTGCTTCCGATCACAATCTCGATCGGAAGTACCGGAATAACATGACAACAATTGACAGGATCTATATACATCATAGAAAGATTATGATCTACAGCTCTTGTTCAAATTTGAAGTTTGCGTAATGATGCATACTCTATCACCTTGTTAGATACAAGTTAAGAAACGTGCATCCTTCATGTCTCTTGCCAATTATCCTGATTGGGACAGACGCAACGACATCTTCTGTGAGTATATAATTCCACAGTGATCGGATTCTTTCGCAACTTCTCTTCATGAACATGTACATGGGACTTTACGTCTTTCCTCAATACCGAGCCTATAATTTTTATTTGAAAGCGCGCTACATGTACCACTTCTACACCAAGTATACATTTCTACTTTGTCATTTGGACTTGACCTGCAGCTGGAATTCCATTTCCAAGCCTTCTTCATACTACATCGTTCTCAGTTTCGTCCGAGACTAATGTTTTCACGACCCTTTACAGAATCACTCGATATGATAATACCATTATGTCACATTACAGAGCTTATGCTTGACTTAGTTCGCACACTCCGCTGTTTATCTCGAAACAAGTCCAGTTAGACCACGATGGTAACTTCGTGCTCGTAGGGTGGGGTTTTCACTTCTTGGGCTGCTCTCCCTCCGGCCACATGTGCCTCTCCCAGACTGCATAAGATGGTCCCGAGGTGGCAACGTTCCAGCCCCAACCAGGATCCCAATTTCCATCACCGAGCTTTACACTCAGCCTTCCATCGATGCTTGCAGCGTATACGCTGTCATTCGCTTCGAGGATTCTTACAGAAGATCGGCTGTGCACGCCATTCTTCTTTCGAATTTGGATCTGTTCCAGAGATTGGAAAAAAACTTCAGCAAACATTTTCCAATGAGAGGATCAAGTTTGAGTTCGAAATAAACTCAAGGAAGAGATTATGCACCAAACGTACCAGATCAATAATTGCATTCCTTATATTTTCCCCCCAGTCAAAGAAGTGATCATAGAAGACTGTAGGTTGTCCTGGATGAGTCAGTATGTATGCGTAGCCCTGCAAAATCATTAACACTTTCGTCAAATTGGCACATGGAGTGTAAACCTTGAAAAATTGCCACATAATCGCATTCTTCCCATCATGATTCGAAAAAAGTTGCAGCTAGCACAAGTAGCAGACACATAAAGGCTTACTGTTCTTACTCACAACTTCCTCTTACTAAAAGCTGAATTCATCTTTTCTGCGCCTTGGGCAGGCCACAACGAAAGAATATGACAAGTGGCAAGAGAAGCATATCTATTATTTGTTAAGCATAAAGTTTTACGCACCTTCAAAATATGTTCACTTGGAAAAGGCCAGTGGCCCTGCGTCAAAGAAGGCACAGGACGGACACTCTTGGTTAACATTGGTATACATACACTCTTCTGTCTATCTGCCGAGGCGAATGAGCAACGGACGTAACAGCGGTCATTTTGCAGAGGAACCATTTCATGTTTACAAGTGTACTACAGATGACGGAGATCTATTTCCTGCAAAGCAATAACGTTTGAGAAACGAAAATAACTTTCGCCAAGTAGTCAAATCAACCGAGAGGAAGATTAGAGTTTAACGCACCTGCGTCGATCCAGTATCATGATTTTCCACAAAGGTGACCGCCCTTGAGGGCCACATGCCCACTACTCCCGAAGGCTTACCCTTTGGATCCCTGAGTCTCCACCACTCACCTGCTCTGCATGCTTCCTGCAGTAGTAAAGTTTTCCAAACGGTCATGTTGGCAAGTCGGATGTAAACCCAGGACAATTTGTCAACCTAAAATCCTTCTCTACATCAGCAACTCCACAGAGCCTTCTCTGCGCTCTGACAAAGTTCACACATAAAAAGAATCTTTGCAACACGTACCAACTAACATTCATGGATTAAAGCATCACGAAGACAAAGGGAGAAACCACACCTGGAGTACCGCCTTGGTTGTAAAATCAAAAGCACAAGCAAGGCCGCCAGCGTTGTCAATCCAGTTGATAGTCCTTTGCCTGTGTTTGTCTGCATTTCATTCGTCCAGATAAAGCAGTTGGTCATTACGTCGGTAGTGCTTGGAAGGTTTAAATCGACCAACTTTCGTCGAGGTCAAGAATCTGCAAGTGAGAATCTTGAACTTACCTTGATTGTAATCGAGGGAAGAATCATGATAGTTGCAAGTATCCCAGAACTCTCCAACAGAGAAAATAGGGTCCGATGCAGCTATATACTCCTTTACGAATTTTGCGCTGTACCTGGCAAGACCAACCGATTGCCAGGACTTGAGAGTCACAGAAAGTAGATATACGTTGCCCACGCCCTTGATGCACAGCTTAGGCCTAATGACCTTAGCATCCGCTGTGCATCGGTTTCTCTTATAAACGCGTCCTTCACGCCGTTAGAACAACGCCAAACTGCACATATTTATCCTGATTTAGCATGCACAGAAAGACAAACCCCTCGCTGTGAATTCTAGATAGATCTTGTGTTTTAACATGAAGATACTGGCAGTTTCAACAAAGCGCGCTGATGGCAGTTACCCTTTTGCGAAGTCAAACCGGAAACTATTGTAACCCACATCCTTTATCAGCCACCGAAGCCACTCCTTAAGATCATTCCGCACAAATTCTTGTGTGTGATCGACATTAGGTGCTCCATGAAATATCTCTCCGGTACTCGGATTTCCCTGTCGTTATAGTGACAAAGGTGGTGAGAAGATACACCCGCTGCTAGTAGTTCATGAATGCAAACATACGCTAAGATTCACATGGCAGCATGCTACTTTGCCTCCCGGAAGTGCTGCTCACCAGCCCACCGGTATCACAAGTAACGGCATGCTCGTCCCATGGCATGGGCATCCCATCGTATCTGTTGTAGATACCTCCGACGCCTTTAGTGCTTCCAATCCGATGATTGATCACAATATCTGCCATGGCCTTCATGTTGTTATCCTTTATGGTCTTGATGAGCAACTTCAGCTCACTCTCGCTTCCATATGCGGTATTCAGCGAGTAAAGGTCTTTCGGCAGGTATCCTGGCACAAACATCGCGTTCCACGCATTAGAAAAATGAAAACTTATCATCCGTGATTCGGCCATCTACAGCTGTTATCATCTCTAGCGTAAAAATTCTTCCCCTCGGCACAGATATGCCTACTGGGGAGACTCATGTTGAAAGCTCGTAGGACTGTGAACTTCTCCTGAATGGATGAACGATTCCGCTATTCCCATCGTTGGATTAGAAATGTATGATGGAAGTAGACATTATTGTACATGCTCACAACAACTGAATTATGCTCAACTTGAAAACAAAATTCTACGATAAGGCTTCACAGCAACGGTTAGAACATGGAGGGATCTACGAGTAGGGGTGTAGACAAACCTTCGCGAGCAAGAGAATCTGAAGATGGTGGTAACCATATAGCAGTAAAGCCTGCAGCAGCAATCTGTGGTATCTTTGTTTCCAAAGTCTTCCACCAATGATGCTTTTGAGACTCCCAGTTAAAGGCCTGTTTCAACGAATTAAAGTCGGGAATGAGCACAGCCAGTAAGTACCAGAACTGCAACTATTTGCTGTAATGCATCAACTTCTCACAAAAAACGACATACCACACTTCTCTAATATTCATCGTAATAGTTAGTTGTACCTGTAACAGGATCTCCTTTCCCACTTTTATTACCTCCTGCCCTGAGCACACAAGCTCGTAGTCAGCTGACAGGTGAGATAAAATTTATAACTTTAAACAAGTGAGAATCTCGTGAAACTTCGAAGCCGTATCACGGCTGCAGTGTGGAATTCTCCGTCAAGAGGAACTTGGAACACTCCTCAACCGGAAGTGTTATCTTAAACCCTTCGTTCCTCGGAGGACGAGTCTTACCAGTCACGTTCGATGACGGCTTCTGAGAATCCTCCATCATCACCTGTGGGATATCCTCTACCTTTTCTTCATCCACAGCAACACAGTCTGCCTTCACCACGATGGCCCCCACTTGATTGTCGACCTCACTTTCATTGAATGTCGGCTGTTGCTGGTGCTGCTGGAAGAATGCAAGTAGAGGACTAAGAAGAGCTTAAATAGACACTACATTATTCGATCTTCTGGACGCAGAATTTCATAAACGCATCACTTTGTTCAACCCAAACAGAATTCGGTCTCCAGATTGTACCTTGGGGTCACCCTCATCTGTGGACTCCCCTCTGTCCTCCATGGACTGTTCGGCACCTATTTTGATAGTCTGAAGAATCGCAAAAAAGAATGACTCAATAATCACAGACCGGGCATTCACTTCCTGCATCCCTCCCTCCAATTGCTTGAGCCCCAGGATCGGGAACAGAAACAGGCGCCCAATAATATAAATCCATTTTGCAGATCAACAAGAAGCAAAACCAATAGCTTGAGCTACGAAGAATTTGCAGCAATGTGACACCACCTGATCGCCAAAACCATGACGCAACACACATTCTCGCAGAGAGGATGGAGAACTCACCCAGACGTAAGAGTAAAACGCCTATTCTGTATTGTTCTGTTATGGGGACGATTGTGATGATGATCACTTGTTCCGACGAGCAGCTTCCATTATCCGCTCTCTGCAACCACTCCCAATTCACCGTCTGTGGTCATCACTCACCCATCCAATCGTTCCGAGAAGATTTTAAAATCGGCTTTTCACCGTACTGCATGACGAGATGCCGGCAACTTGCAGAGAAAGAGTGAGCTAGGATCCCACTCACAACATGAAACAGGACGAAGAAATATTCTGCTTACGACTTTGGCCCAGCTAAGAGCTGTATTCAGACTTCATCAGAATTCGCCACAGTACAGCAGAAAACCTGATGTTACTCCATTGATGAATCCCCCGACTAGTCATAAACTCAAATCACTGTACTAAATGGATGGACCTTCGATGTCATTCCTCATTCGACTGAGCTGCCTCGACGGCAGTCAGCGACGGACGACGCAATTACAACGAATTCAGTTCAGCAATTTATATCCCCGAATGGGACTGTTTCATCTCCACTCCAATTCCCCTAAAACATTAGTTTAAAGCGATCGATCCCTCCGCATATGTCACAGATTCATTCTCGTCCCAGCTTTTGAAAATACATGATTTTAAAATTCGACATCTACGTTCAGATTTTTTCGCAGCTGACAGTAAACGCCAACAAACCTCAAAAGGATGCAGATGATTCGCGTCCAGTGTCTCCCCGTCTGCCACCGGACGACCAAGCGCGTCAATCAGAAATTGCAACGACACGATGACCCATGCTCCAGGCGAAGGGAGGAAGGGAAACCGGCCCCCCATGCCTCGGAAGCTTCGAGCTGCGCCCAGTGACAGCTCGCCAGCTGGTCGAGGCCTCGCACCTAATTTCGGCACTTTCCGGGCGAGCGCCGCCCGTGCCATCGCATGATCACGTCCTGTGGAGTGGGGAAGGGAGGGGAGGGCGAGCTCCTGCGCCCCTTGCTTACTGCAGTTGGCATGCATGTCCCCTCGGCCTGTGGCCGTCGATGCTGTGAGGACAAAAATCTCGTCGGCCCTTTCGACCATCCGTTTCTGCGCAAGGTGGCACTCGCATCCTCCACCAGCGACTGGCAGCCAGCGCCCACCATCGCTTCTCTTGGTTGCCTTTTCTGCCTCGCATTGTGATTCCAAATCCCGATCCCCGATCAATTCCAGTCATCATTGCCTTCTACTCCTCTCGTTTCTCCGCCATATGACTTCATGTAATTTCGTACGAAGAAGAGCCTGCCCAGCAGCGCCTGCTTTCCTGCTGCTGATCTCGATACTTTCGACATTCTTTGGTAAGTGGTTGGACATTTCTGGAGAAAATCCGAAGAGTTCAAATTTTATTGGAGTGGATAGAATTATTTTATACAGCACTTGGGGTGCAGAATTAACTTGTGAAGCGTTTGGAGTAATGACGATCGGCCTCGTCAATTATACGTCCCTAGAAGCAGCCGGAAAGTCCGAAAGGCTACCTCATGATACTATATATTTAGTGTCGGATCACCACACTGAGAAAATATGAGTAACTTTTCACTAATATTGATCAAGTACGGGAAATCTGACATATTTTACATATATGGGGTTGCATTTTGGGTCTAGCCCGAGAGTATCGAATATGTTCGCTGGAACTAATATATATTGACTATATAGGTGAATTGGAGCGGACATATGCATTAACTAATGTGATTAGTTCCCCCACCATTTGCATGAGCCAATTATGTTTATTTAATAATGAATACACAATGATTAACATGGATACACATTGATTAACCTATATAACACAATATTCGGAAAACAAAACAAAAATTCACATCAACTAGTATTTGAGGTTTATCTATACAGAATGTACATCCACGAAAATATTAAAACTTTACTCAGGAATTTTAAATTTGCCTCTTAGAGAATTACAACTAGTTATTTTATATAGTGATAAACTAATATTTGACATTTTAACTGAAGTTACATTGACCTGACTTAACAAGATCTGAAATAACTACTAATAATCTTCCTATGACTCATGTTCTTTCTAAACTCTATACTCAATATGATTATTATGAGTGGAATTTTAGAAGCAAATTTGATATATATTACAATGTAAATTAGAGTTAATTAAAACTAAGATGTGATCAAAACAAGATAAAAATTTCAAAACTAGTAGATTTCACTTGTGCCACATGTGTAGAACTTGCAAAGTAACACAACATTTCTTCAATGAAATAACTTTCCTTTAATGCATCAATTTAATTAGGTTTGTCGTAACTTTTGACTTGCTCAAACTTTTTATAAAAAAAATTATTTTATTTTATATTGATGTATAAATATAAAATCCTGCCATCAATCACTTATTTTCTACAGACTATAACTTACTCTAATTATCAAAATAAAGATTACAATTAGTTGTTTCAAAATTGTATGCATGATAAGTCTATCCAATCAAACCTTCATTTTTTTAACTCTGCAACTAAGCATAATTTGCATTTTACAATCCATTACAATTTTTGTAATGGAATGTAGTATGCAAAGTGTCTTCAAGTAATGAATCTATCGTTTGAACTCATATCCAACTGTAAATATGTTCTTGTTTAGATCTTGTCCACGGTGAGCATGAACATAGTTTTATAAAGATTAAAGACAACAAAATAAATCACCTTTACAAATAACCACAATCCTTAGCACTTTTTAGATAATTGAAAATACATTTCATTACATTCCAATGCATTTTTCATATATTTGACATGAAAAATGACACTTTGTCAAATCTCATGTACATCTACTGCTTTGTTAACGAGAAATTGATAACATATTTATGATCTCAATCGTATGAATTGAACGTTGAATTCTACAAAGCTTGAAATGTGTTGTCAAAGTAATTCATTTTTCATTTGGTATTTTCCATGTTAAAAACGTGAATTACGTTTTTAATAAATTTAACTTAATTTAATCATAACTTTTCATATTTAAATCTTTAAACACTCTCGTATACTAATCTTGAATGTAGATTTTATTTGGATTTTTTCAACATTAAATTGATTACTTCTCAAAATGATCATGTCATCTACATTGAATACTGAAATAATAAAAATCAAGGTATTAGTATTTATTTTCTTCAAGAATACATAAAGATTAAACACACTTTGTGAAAATCTTTATGTTTTTGTGAATTCATAAAATTTTACATAACATAATGAATTAAATTTTTTCAAATCTATCTAGTGATTTTAACAATCTACAAATCAAATTCTCTTGCCATTTCTTCAAGAAATCAATATGTTATATCTTGTACATTTAACTTTCTAAAGTTTCAAAAAATAATGTTTTGATGCATGTTATAGATGATTACATTGAATATTGCAAAAAGTATTTGTATTAGTTGAATTGTATCTTACTTTGCTTATCTTACTTTACACATGAAAATAAGTCTATATAAACTACACATTTCTTTTATATTAAACATTCAACCACCAATATGGCTCTTTTTCTTTACATATGAGTATATAAAAAATTAACCAAATCTTTTTCAATGGAAATAATCATTGGGTTAGTTCATGATTCAAACCAAAGGATATGAAAAATTTAGTCATGTCAAAAAAATAATTATCAAACAAAATTTCATATTAACAATTTCAACCTAAATCTACCATGACAAACCAAATTGATTCTACATATTAATCACAATCTCCGGCATTCTTTAACAACATACATTACAAAATGCAAATGAGAATGTGAGATCTATATTCCAAAATTGTTAAATATTTATATTAATAATAATACCAACAATGCAAGTAGGTAAAATAAACTTCAAAATTGATTTTATGAAAGTATCTTCAATTTGATTTTCTCCGAAATAACATAGAATATGTGGAATTCTGAAATACCACAGTTACGACGACTGATCTGCTGGGTTAAAAATTTGTGTACAGGAAGTGACTGTAATTCTTTCCATTATGATTGCCGTCAATCACTACTTGGAGACATGTTTGTTTGTTGCATTGTTTGTTTCGAGCAGTCTCATGATGTTTAACTCTCTTGATACCAATTGTTCGTAAGCCTGTGTGGCAAGTTTGGTGTTGGGGAGAAATACATGGAGCTTTTTCAGACCAAATCCACCAACGTATTTTTAACTTGTAGTCATCTACTGGTTTACAACCAGTAGATGAAGACTGACAGACTTGATTCACGATCAGTAAGACAATTGCTTGGAGACGTATACATGTTGTGCAATAGTTCGTTTGTTCCATTATTAATGTGAAAAACATATAGTACACATGAACATGTTGTAAAGGATAGTCAATATAACACATGAACAGAGGATGAGCACCACTTTTCCACGCTTTTGTCAAGTTGACATGAGCCTTACTTACTCACGTTTCAGACTTGCGGCCGAAATGTGATTTGTCCCGAATCCAACTGCAGACATGGAATTTGTTTCGACCAACCCTAAGCTAAGTCCCTCAACATACATGCCTTCACTAAGCTTCTAGCATCGTCTTGTGAACGCAATTTCTGCGTAATTCAACACAATGCTATGTAAGAAATTTCATCAAGACAGAGAACTAACCCAATCCTCTTCTACAGAAGAGTGCTAGATCCTTTGAAGGACCAAACTCTATGATTCACCTGTCAAAGGTTATTCTCACGAGACGCTTCTAGATATTCTTCCAGTATTCTTTTTTGTAGTCTCTACATCAAGGAGTAAGAGGCAAGTCTTGCAGACATTTGTTTAGTGCATAAGTTAGGCAGCGAACATAATCAGACAGCTTCGGACCGGCGATTATACTCTTCAAGAAACCTCTTCTGCGCTTGTATGATTTCCTGTTGTCTGCCTATCCACTCATCAAACCTCCTGGACTCCTCTGACTCCGCTTCTCGCTCTATCATCTCCACCTTTTCCCAATATTCAAGTTCGAGATCTTCCATGTACTTTCTCTCTTCCAACCTTAAAGCTTGCGTCTGAGAATCAACCTCCTCCGCTTTCTTACGACCTTTGGCAAGTTTCTCCTCAACCATTTGCCGTTTCAACCTCTTGATTCTCCAAGATTCCTCCTTTCTTTGAGCTGACCAGATTTTACTCTTGTCGTCCAGATCTTTCCAGTATTCTATCAGATCTTCTAAACTTTTTGGGTTTGGTCTGACATTTCGGATCCTCACCTCGTCCATCAGCCCTCCTGATGATTCACCTGTCGGATGTTGAACATGATACCAAGATGTTCTATGCCCTGGAAACGGTTCTTCTCCCACACTCAACCTTGTTTTGCTCGTCAATCCCTCAGTATTATGCGACCAATTTGGACTGCTTACATCCACACCATCTCGGGGAGAAGGAGAAGACGCTAGGGACAGGCCAACAGAAAGATGGCGAGATCGGTCTGCAGAAAACTCGGATCGCAGACGAGATCTACCTACATACGTAGTTTCCTGAGAGACTCCAAGATTCGGAAACACCTTTCCTGATCCAGAAGTTGAAGGTAACGTTGACATCCAAGGAGGAAGCGACGAGGCCTCTCTGCTTCTTGACTGAACATGAGCAGGGACAAGGGAAAAGGAAGGGCCAATGGGGTTATCAACAGATGTGGGTTGAGGTCGGGCACTCGAACCTGATTCGATCAGTCTGGCTTCTTCAGTCTCGAAGTTGAATGGAGATGCAACAGGTAACGACGTGGTATTCATGGATGACGAACTGCTGACGGTACCAATAGATAAAGGATTTTGATGTCTAAGATACAACGATTGAGGTGAAAAAGGATCAGTTTCCATTGTCGAGCTCCCTAAGATTCGAGATGTTGTAGCAGTGAAAGGATGTTGCAAAAAGAACGAAGGAGGCGCTGGAACAGATGATGAAGACGAACCTACTTGACGTTGGTCCAACTTTTCCGCAATGTGCTTAAACAGTTCGTTGTAGTTAGCATTTACAGCTAACTCGTCTCCAAGAGGCGTACCCCACTCTTTTTCTCTATCCTTTTTCTCCTTTTCTTTGTAAACCTCCCACCACTTTCCTAGTCTCTTCGCGGTCCTTCCGGGAACTTCGGCTGCTATTTTCTTCCACTTGTTTCCGTACTTCTCCTGCAAGCTTATGACCAGATTTTTTTCCTCCTGCGTCAGCGGTGTTTTCTTAATTCCTGGTTTCAGGTAGTTCTTCCATCTCTCCATACATGACTTGGCGTCTCTATCTAATGCATTGCCGGTCCGTTCTGAAACCTTTCCCCAGTCCTTCGCTCCAAATTCCTGAACATAATTTCGCAAAAGGTCATCTTCCTCAGGCTGCCAGCGTTGCCTCTCCTTCATCGTCTAACGCACTACCCTCAACAACAGAAACCGTTGTATCACATTTTACCCCAAAAGTAGTCAAGATCTTCCAAAACCTTCCTGTGATGGGCTCACATACAAGCCACCTCTGCAAGAATCTCGGCATGTGCTTCTTCTTTGTTGCCGACAAGCGGAATAAAAGTTCTCCAGATGAGGATGCTTGGAAAACCAGATAATCAGATCATCAACGCCGCTGTTTCGCAACGCACCTTTTGTTGAGAATTAAACCCTGAATGGGCAAACGCGACAATTTAATCAGCAACAAAATCAAGAGAAAGCTATATTTCACATGTCAGCTCTCACACTTTTGCGGGTAATGAACGATTCCATGTTAACTCAAGCAGTTCGAAGGGCTTCATTTTCAGGTCATAGAATAGATTTGTCTCCCTCCTTAACAGTGCTATTGTCACCATGTAGTAGATGTGAAATGCTCTAAGGAACCCTTATACAATGTCACGTATGTGCATGTCAGAACCATCAGTGTTCATGAAAGTTTCCTGAATGAGAGGCTAAGAATCCCAAACATCCTCTGTAAATTCTCCGCAAATACCAGAATTTGATGTGACAGTACTGCTCGAACCTGACAGGATAACGAATTCTTGTATTCTACGTTACACGCTACTTCTCTCCATACTAGGAAAATTACAGCAGGTAGGGAATAGAGACATGAGAACACTGATCTGCCCTCTGAGGGACGGTAGATTCGTCCGTCATTCATCGGTCAAAGTCAATGGTAGGACTGCTAAAGTCCTGCTTTAAACATCACCTAGACCTGTGGAGCAAACTGTCACGGAAGTATATCAGATGTCGGAAAGCTCATTTTTCATTGACTTGGATAATCCGGCGGGATATTGATCGATGACGACTGCCGGACGATGACGAACATTGCCCTAACGACCTCTCACCTGATTGAAGACAGCTGTGGTCCAAAATGAATTTCTGCTAACAAGCTCTTGCAGAGAAAAGTAATGGCGATATTTCATGTAACTGATGTTTCAAGCAGTCACTCAATTGGCCTAAATTGATCATTGTGACTAGCATGCACACGAGAAGAAGTCACCGCAACAAGGAATTGAAGAGACGGGCTACTTCTTAGAATAAGCTGACGACCTCGTATTCGTCCAGGAACGAAGCCATTCATACAAGTTACCTCTTTCAGAGACAATTCATTCGTACTGTCTAGTACGTCTAGTAGGGTTATCACCCTGCTCATTTCCGGTTGAATGGAGTCAAAAATCAACAACATGGCAGGAGTATGATCAGATTTCAGACTTTGATATCCAGCGAAATACATGGCACCACCACACTTTCGATGGCATTGTCACCCAAACGGATGCCAGAATGATCATGCGGCGAAACGAAAGGACATTCTCACCTGGAGTTCATGACATTGCAAGGTAACTGCAACGGGGGTTCTTGGGGCCATCCTGCTGAAGAATCATAAGGTTTGTATGACAAAATCCCCCGTTTGTAGTCAACATCATTGAAACTCTTCTGCACTGCATCTCCTTCGTTGAACCACTAGAATAGAAGAGTCTTTGTGCCGAGGTCCCAACCAGCTCCACTTCATGGTTCAAGTACTGGAGCTTCTATTTGGAAACGACGATGAATGATCGAGTCCGCTGACTCGTCGCCGGACAATTCTCGAGTGAGCCGATGAAGGAATCTTATCCCACGGGAAATGAACTAACCTGGCCATGAAGGCACCACGGGAGTTTGGGTCCCTGAGACAGCGCTTCTAAAGCCAATGTCGGAAGTGAAATTGAGCAGAAAAAAGTCAGGGGAGCGAGAGTTCAACACATATGTCCGCCGCAGCGGAACCTTATTCCCGGGCTCGACTACAAGGCACGGGAGGTCAGAGGGCATCGGAGGAACTGGACGATGACAAGACGATGACAAGACATTCGAACGTAGATTGCAACATCGAACGGGAAGCTCCATTAATCCGGTGGATCTTCTTTGAATCTGCAAGAATTAATAGCAGCGAACAAGGACAGCACAAACAATGCCTCCTTACTCACTCATGATCACATCTAGAAGGCTAGGCGCTCCCAGGGGAGCACTACCATGGCCGGGCGTAGGGAGCCTCGTTCATGGGAATGTTTGGCATCAAGGATGATTGTTCTGAGAACGAAGGGAATGTGGTATGTTCACCAGCTCCGCGGGTGCATAATTGTGTTCTTGAATGAAAGGTATGGAATGACGGAAACGCATAATGGATAATTACTGTGGACGCAAAGAAAGAATAAGAACTCGAACGCTGGATCAGTGGAATTTGATTGCGAACGATGGGAAGGGAAATGGAAACGCGTGATGGTAAAGCGCCGGGGAGAGAAAAGCGAGCGAGATGTTAAAATGTTCAACATTCAAAAGCTCCTGTAGCTGTTGGCGGTCAAACTGCTGTTACAGGAATCATCAATTAGTCACAAATTCGTGTACAATTCTCTTCAACCACTTTCGCGCTCCGTCGAAATTCCTGTCCAGCCACTTCGCGGTCCACCCGCTCTGCTTTCCACGGACCGTACTCGACACGATCATCCATCAATCAGTCTCTCACTCCATCAATCAGTCCCTGCTCTCACTCGATCTTGCCTCCTTCGCCATTAACGCTTCGTCGCTTTTACCCTCCCCGCCCCGCCTCCTCCATCGCCCCCGAATTCTCTCCCTTCTCAATTCTCCTCCCCCTTCCCTCCCTCCCCTCCCTCCCTCCTTCATACAGTATGCCCGACGACATACTCTGCGACCTGGATCCGATCCTGCTCCGTGATCATGACAGCGTATGATCGAGCGCAGCAAATGCTGCTCCCTCCGTCCCTCCCTCCCCAATTCCGTTCTGATTGGGTTTCTCATCGTAAGTGCATCCCCTCTTCTCCTCAGCATTCTTCTCACTTCTATTTGCGTCTGCATCCGAGGGCATCGGATTCGGAGGGATTATTTTCTTGAAAAGACGGAAGTACATTTTGATCTCACCGAAAAATTAATTTCATTTTTCTGCACGCAATTATTTTTTTGTAAAAAATTTCTATTTTAAATTACTGGGCTCAAAATAGCATGTACCGTCATTCACACATTAATGGAGGTGTGCTGGATCTGCTATGATTTCGAGGGTGAACATTCTTCTAGCTAAACGGTGATGAGAATCGATTATATAAATTTATTCACGCACTCTAAATTCTAGTGATTTTATTATGATTAGCTATATACGATGTGTATATAACATCGGAGTGATGTACATGAGTCAGAGTATCTGTATACACATATCAAGCTAAAATATGACCGAAAAACTTCTGAGGTTGTTTTCTAACCTCGGTACTGCAAGATAGTAAGCATTAAACTAATACAAATAACTCCATGCTAAAACGTTCTAAATTAGAGCTATATCAATTTTCAGTGAAAATTATATTGAATGCACCCAATAAGCATTTAAGTATTAACCGTATCTTGTATGGATCGTGGTGTGAACACGAGATAGAAAAGCTTATCTCAGTTAAAACATTATGTTCTAACCTTGCTTATAGTTTCTTTTAAGCTGCTTTGGCAGAGTATGTTCGGGATATATTCTAGCTGTTTTGAAATTTCAATACTCAATGAAACGTGCTCAAATCTGATAAAGTAAATTATTTGATGGGACCCTTGGAAACTCAATACTCTTGAAGGTACCCAACAGGTTTAATTTTAACCGATGGGACTCCTTTCGATGGCCACCGTAACCATGTTCTTATAACCTACTGATTTGTTCTATAGAGTGGAGAGTGTTGGGCTAGAGCATTTTGGCGACTAGTTCGCAGCCATGTCTAAGAAAACGAAGGGCTGCCCGTCACGGGCACCATGAGTCTGAGTTACTCCCGATATGGTCTTGTCGTGACTTCATGTTCTACTCGAAATAACCCCATATAGTATTGGAACATCACTAATGGTGGTGCTGCAGGGCGTAGATGGAATCCCATCGTGTAAAACAAAACCTGGGTCCCATCAAATGTTTTGAATTTCCCCCTCCCATCAAGTAATTTACTCAATCTGATACTAAATCGGGATTGACCCATTAAAAAAATTGATCTATGGTGTCTGGATTTTTCTCACACACTATACAAAAATATTAAGTTTTGTATACAATCACAAAATGACGTAAATCCTAATAGCTAAATGGTTGCTATTGGTTTTGACTTGAACGAGCGTTCAAGTCAAAACCATTTTCCATCCCAGAATGTTGGTCTCTAGCACTAGCTAGTGATCTCTCACTAGTACTCCTTTATAATAAGTGCCTAGATCTCTGCTACGCTCTGATTCAAATTCGGAATGTTCCATGGCCCTGTTTTCTACTTTCTATTTTCTCCCCTCCTAGTCTCTTCATACCTCTTACTTCAAGTTTTACCAAGAAAAGCATTCATGTTGTCTCGCCAAGCAAATAATACCAACAATCGAAATGAAGGTGGAGTTTCATTTGCGGTCTGTGTAAATGTACCTGCATTATTTTTCAGCGGGAAGGGATTTTCGAGAGTCTGTGAGCGTGTATACAAGTGTACAGGACAGAGGTGGGTGCTGAGAATCGTACCACTCTCCCGTACAGTACGAAATGTTCCATCCCAGGGCGGAATAGAAACGAAAAGATTCGACTGAGGTAAGCAACCGAGATTGCTGCTGCTGAGACGGCGAAGGGGCTGCTCATGAACTGCGTTCCCGAGCTGCAGATCGAGCGAGGAGCGCGGAGGACTGGGCGCAATTTAATGCAGAAGCTTCGACTGGACGGGCTGCCCCGAGTCGCCCGCGTGCTTCTGCGCGTAATTGTTGAATTGTTCAAATTTCGGTCGTACAAATAATTTTCCAACTCTGCTATTCACGAACCCGTTCGTTTGTGTGCTAACAGTGTATTTATTGTTTGTGCGAGAAAACAAGTTTTGCCCAGCATCGCCATGTAAGTACTGCTCGAAAAGCCACATCTGATGGAGGCCCATTCCAGTATGGGCATTTATGTTCCTTAAGGCTAGATTTAATAATTTGACATTTCATTTGTTTATAGACACTCTCTCGTTTTCCCTATGTATCGCCCGTCTACAAACAGAGGAAAGATTTCCTTGTGTAAAATTCTCGGATTAGAACAACTTTTTACGCTCTATGTTTTATGCATTATGAGCATAGGCCTGACTTGTATCGACAGCCAGCCGTACCGAGAAGAAAAGGGGATGATGCATGATGCATGAGCTCATTATACTTACTACGAAATTATTAATATAAATCTGATGCATGGACGTGGTCAAATTTAAAGTAGCTTTTGGTTATAGCCATGTAAGTAAGTGATGGCAGAGTAAATGAAGTAAAAAGACCAAATTAGACTACCTCATAGGCAAGATCATCATTCTCTTTTCTTGCGGAACCCAGTGGAATAATATGGCATGCAGGTAATGTCCTGTATTAAATCTCGAATTCAATTCCAACGATTTAATTTTTTAATCGTTCGCCTGAAGTCCACGCGCAAATATAAGCAAGCCACTAATTGTCTTCCAATCATGCGTGCTAATCATCACTAAGCTGCTTTACCTTTTTCCTCTCTACGCATAATCAAGTTCCTTGTCCAAAATCTCTTTTCGATTAATCACTCCCAGAAATAAACGTGTTTTACTCATTACGTTCTTCTTGTTTTAATGAGGAAATATCAAGAGCAGGCTTGACGGGTTGTGATTCAGATAAATTTGAAATAGGCGCGTTTTGTTGCAGCTTACAAAATCACCAAGGTGGTGCCCACCTTGTAACTTCATCACTAATGACCACTATCTATGGAATTTAACTCTGTTCTGGTTCCACTAACAAGGTATTTGTCAAGCATACCCGGCGGTTATGGACTCAAACCAGAAGATCTCCATATATTGATTATGTAATAAGATCCTAGTGAATTTTAGGCACGACCACTCGTTAGCGTATTTACATGCCTCCTACACGGATGTAAAACTTGGCGGACTTTGAAGTTGTATTCGCCCATCATAAAAATTCGCGGAATTCTCCTGAAACAAAACAAGCAATCTCTTAAAAAAATGCCGCGAATTTTATAGAATTGCAGTTCACACTTTGGACAGGAGAACTCTTACATCGACCAAAACATGAAATGTAGCTCTTACCTTCAGCCGGAGAGTGGACCACAACGTTACTTTCTACTTACATTAAATAACAAGCATTTGAAGTTGGGTTAAATAAAGTACATAATGTAAAAGGAGGGATGTAAACAGCCCAATCTACATTAACAAAGATGAAACCAACCGTGCTTATAGGGGTGGTGCTGGGATAGTATGCTATTGAAAACTATATTCCACAAAATTTTAATATATCCAAAATATCCAAATGGAATAGTATGCAATCAGCATGAACATGATGTAATTCATCAACTAACATGATTGTACAACAATACCTTTTATCATTTGTAACAATATGAAGAAAGTGATATTTCAATTGCATAGTATGATAGGGTCTCTTAAATCACTTTCAAAACAATTCAAAGTCAATATTTATAGTCATATGTAACTTGAAAGATAGAAATAGAGATGAACTTTATGCATATCTCTAAATTTGGTTAAAAACCTTGAATGAAACTACTCTATTTGATATTGATCTATACAAATGAATGATCATCATCTATACATTTATGTCACGTAGTTTTGATAATACTCACATCATATCTATACGTCAAGTGTCTTTTATCACACAAATTCATCCATTAGAAAAAAGTCCATTATATCATCATCATATTAAAATAATTTGAATGTTTGTAAAAACCAATTCAATGAAAAAAATACTGAAATGAAAGTAAAATGAAATTTAAACTCAAAACTTTAGGATAAAACATTCCAGCTCATGTGCAAGATATCATATGGCACAAGGCAAAGAGTGAATAACATCTACCCACTCTTTGCTCATCAATCTACTTATTTTGGTTGGACTTTTGGTAAAAAAAAATGAAGATTTATTAAGTTATAGTTTTTTATTATTATATTAAAAATAAAAGCTATACAATTTTAAGAATCTATAGTTTAAACATATCAAAAAAATTTAAGCTCACATTACAAACATATGCAGACTCACATATAATTAATTCTTAACATACTTCATTTATCAAATTAAATATGTAAAAATTTTAATTTAAATTTTAATCTCAAGTGATTTTCTGTTCGAATATTTTTTTACTAGTTTATCTTTTCATTAAAAAATTACTATTTTTCTTATTAAATTTTTATTAGAAAATAAATTTGAATCTGATAACATACATATATTCGTATAATGTTAAATTTTAAATTTCTTGTATATAATCGATTCCAATATAAATGAGTCCAAACCTTAATCATATTGTTTCAACTCATGACTTACTGATTGATTGTTTATGATAAAAGCATGAAATATATTGATTTTTAAGTTTAAATTCTAGGTGTAAATAATTATATACATTTCAAAATATAAATCAAGAAAGATACTCCCATGATAAGCATGATAAGCAAGTGATTGTTTGTAACTTACTTTGTGGATAACTTTGTTTAGGAAGAATTCACATCCATTCAGTGAAATTAAACTTGATGAAATATTCACATTAGACAAATCTTAACGGGAATCTTGATTATACTGCTTGTTGTGAACTTGACCATATTTCATGAACAATCATAATTTGATTATTGATAGACTATAATCAAATTGGATGAGTTATGTGGATAAAATGCCAAATCTAAAATCACTCTATTCTTATCATTTTGCATCGGATTCAAACCTTATGCAATGATGTTGTTTATCATAATGTAAATCATTTCACACTCTCCAATTTCTTTTTTCATATAAGTGAAAAAAAATATC